AATACATCCCTGACGAACCCCCTTCTTGATTTTGAACCATGTAGTGTCTCCTTGCTCTGTTCTGACAACTGCCTCTTGGTCCGAGTATAAGTTTCGCATTAGCACAATCAAATGTTCTGGGATTCCCATTCTTCTCAGAGTCAGCCACAGCTTATTTGTGCTAGTATGTCAATATTTATGCATTACATTTCTTTCTTAACAATATCCAGTTTTTCTCCATTCATGTTTTTCACATTCTGTGTTCCAGTCACTAGTGTTTACAGTCAACTTTTCCTCCTCTTTTGTGCTTCCATAATTGAGGATTTGACCTCAATCGCCAAGTCTGCTAGTCTAAGTGCATTCTATTGTACATAGGGTTTTCAAAGGTCTACTATTTCAGAAGTCAAAGGCAATATATTATATTAAGCAATATAAAATGTATTCATCACATGTCGTTGCTATTATTATTACCCATAATGTTGTCTGAGACCCATAGTGACCCTCACCTTACATACAGCAGCTCTGAACCCAGTTTTATTTTGAGCCAACCTCATTGTCTCTGACACACTTATACCCATTACCTCTGTCACTGGGTTAGTCCATCTCATCCGTGATCTTCTTCTCTTGAGCTGTTCCTCTACATCAAGAATGATGTCCCGACAGCCGACACCTTATCTGTCCCAGAGCACAGGCTCCTTCGCACAGTCACCGCAGCTGGTTCACACCCGCCACCCCCAGCTCACCATGGATGATGACATCGCTGCGCTCGTGGTCGACAACGGCTCCGGCATGGGCAAGGCTGGCTTCGCGGGCGACGACGCCCCCTGGGCTGTCTTCCCCTCCATCGTGGGGCGCCCTCGGCACCAGGGTGTGATGGTGGGCATGGGCCAGAAGGACTCCTACGTGGGGGACAAAGCCCAGAGCAAGAGAGGCATCCTGACCCTCAAGTACCCCATCGAGCACGGCATTGTCACCAACTGGGACGACATGGAGAAGATCTGGCACCACACCTTCTACAAAGAGCTGCGTGTGGCCCCTGAAGAGCACCCTGTGCTGCTGACGGAGGCC